AACTTTTTATTCATAGAAAGGTACACTATCTACTGTATACTAAGATAAGATAAACATCAGAGAAAAAGGGGAAGGCCCTCAACGAGATGGATTGACACAGTGGCTGCCACAATGGGCTCAGGCACAGGACCAGGCAGTGTTTTGCTCTGTTGTACGTGGGGTCACTATGAGTCGGAATTGACTCAATGGCACCTGACAACAAAACAAACAGTTGACTGACATTAGTTTGAACTGTACCTAACTGTTCTAATTTATGTACAATTCCAGGACTTAGGACTGGAACGCATTCATAATCCAGACACTGCTGCATATAATATGGTGTTCACACAATGTCCAAATCACATAATGTCCTACTTCACAGAACATACATATTGTACATGTTAAGTGACACATGACTGTACACAACAAAACATAAGCCACCACAACCACTTTTACACATCAACTCAGTGACGTGAATTGCATTCACCATGTTGTGCAGCTATCACCATTATCTGTGTGCAACTTTACCATCACCCTGACCGGAAGCTCCAGCTCTCGTCTGTCAGGTCACTGCACCGTGGTGGCCTGCGTGCTGCTGTGAGGCCGGAAGCTATGCCTCCATATCTCACACACCAGGAGGGCCAGCCATGGTGCACAGGTCCCAAAGGAGCGTCCAGACTCAGACAGACCAGGAAGAAAGACCTGGCAACTGAGTTCTGAAAACCAGCCGCTAAAGGGGAAGGGAAGCGGCATCTTCTGACTTCCTCTAACTCCACAAGAGGAAGACAGAATCAGCATCAGCAGCCCAAGGCCTGGTCCTACGAGGTCAGACATGCTACCACCCTCCAGCCCTTTTACCAATCTTGACACCAGCTATCCCTCCTGCAGCACCCACCACCTCTTTTCTGGGTTTGATAATTTGCTGTAGTGGCCACACAGAGCTCACAGATTATGGAGTTTATTAGGGAAGCAACAGGCTACAATTCAAGTTCAGGAACGTGCTCAGAATACAGTTCTTCAGTCAGGACAGTCTCCCCTCTGCTGTGCCCTCAGACACGCCTCTCTGGCCCTTGGCCTCTCACTCTGTGGGCCCCATAAGCCTGCCACTCTGTCTCATGCGTCTTGGTTCCACTGCTGCCGTCCCTCTCACCTGCCACTGAGAGTCCCCCTCTGCCTCTGTTGTTGTTGTTGTTATGTACTGTTGAGTCGGATCCAACTCATAGTGACCCCTCCTAGGGTTTCTGAGGCAGTATCACTACGGAAGTAGACTGCCCCATCTTCTTTCCCAGGAGTGGCTGGTGGGTTTGAACCGCCAGCCTTCTGGTTAGCAGTCAACTGCCTTAGGCACTATGCTACCAGAGCTCCCCCTCTGCCTCTAGGAGGGCTCATTTTAAGCCTGGCAGAGTGGCAAAACTAACCAATGCCAACATCAGAGTTCTATACACCTGAGAGTGAACTGAACTTTCCCAGAAGATAACTTCATGCTGCTCCAACAGAAATACCCCAGGTTGAGGACTTGAACAATCAGGAGTTTAAAAAGCAGCTAGTCAGCTGCTCACAGCAAATTTTACCACGGAGTTAATTGCCAGTCTCATTACAAGAAATAACTACTACCAGCTGCCCAGCCAAGTTGACACGTTTGGATGATCCCACCCAGTAACCCAGTGGGAGTTACAAAGACCATACCTAGAAAAGCCATACCATGGGGCTCACTACACCACAGCAGCCAATGAAAACCCCACGGATCCTAACAGAACACTGGATGTAGCACTGGAAGGAGAGCCCCTAGGTTGCGAGGCTCCCAAAACACACAGTGGCTGCAGCCATGGACCCGAGCAGACCAAGGACTGTGAGGAGGGCGCAGGACCGGGCAGTGCTTTGTTGCATTGTACATGGGGTCACCATGCAGTAGAGACAACTCGACGGCCACCACCAATGACAACAACAGTTCAAGAGCCACATGTGGCCAGTGGTAGACAGCACAGCTGGAGAGGGTCAAAGAGAAAAATCAACCTGCGGAAGAGAGGAAGCCAGAAAGGATGCAATGCAGGTGTCAGCTGAGGTGGGTGTGTCCTCTGGAGAAGGAAAGGCCCCCCGACCAAAGCAAGGCTGAGGTGAAGCAGCACAGGGCACCTTCAGAAGGGAGCGGCAGAAGCAGGGAACCATGGGAGGCAGGAGCACGGCACTTCCTCTTTATTTGCTCACACTGTGAAACCAGCCCACCTTGTTCAATGAGTTCGAGCAGCAGACCCCTCAAAAGAACAAACAAAGCAAAACCAGTTGCCGTCCAGTTGATTCTGACTTATGGGGACCTCACGTATGTCAGACTAGAGCTGTGCTCTGCCGGCTTTCATGGCTGATTATTTGGGAAGTGGGTCACCACATCTCCATGCCAAGGTGCCTCTGGGTGGATGTGAACCACCAACTTTGCAGTTTGCTGCAAGTTAACTGTTCGCAGCACTCAGGGACTCCATGTCCCCTAATAAACCACAAAAAGCCTGTTGCTGGTGGGGTGATTCCAGCCCATAAGGACCCCATGTGACAGGGCAGAAATGCCCCATAGGATTTCCTAGGCTGTCCCCTCTATGGGAGCAGAGCACCTGATCTTTTCTCTCGGAGCAGCTGGGTGGGTTGGAACTGCTGCTCCCCCAAGGCTCCTTAGATCCTTGAAAGGTGGGGTTACAATTTGGGCTTCCAGGTCAGGAGCGCTGCACTCTGCCTGGGCACCTCCTACCCTGCCACTTCCCCTTCATCTTTCACAGATACCTCCCCAAATCTCTCGCACTTGTAAAAGGAACAAACACGCAGCTTCCCCTCTAATAAAAGAAGAGTTGGCCTGAGAGGAAGTGAGCCCAAAGAACAGAGGAAGAAGTCCCAGCCCAGGTTATCAGAAATGCACAGGGAAAATGTTGTTCCTGACAGGAAAGCTCCAGTCCTTAAGACAGCGGGAAAGCCTCAGGGCACCGCAGGGTCCGGGTGTTCCATCTCCAGTTCCCACGTTTGCCAGGGTGTGACCTCTGGCAGTCTGAATTCCAGCATCCCATCTATGATGTGGACTAATAAGAGCCTCTACAATTTAAGTGAAGGAGCCCTGGGGCTACAAGGGGAAGGTTAAGCCAACCCAGCTCCTCTGTGGGGAAAGACCCGGTGGTGTGATCTGCTCCTGTAAGGATTACAGCCTAGGAAACCCCTACTCTTGTCCCATGTGGTCACCACGAGTTGAAAATTGACTCGATGTCACCCAAAAAGGACGACGTTATGTTGCACAATGGGGAGAGGATGAAACGAGGACAGGAGACGGCCAGGTACCGGCGGCTCGCTCTGCCAGGTGTACAAGCAAGTTCGAAATCAGACGCACACAGCGTCAAACATGTAAATGTGCAGTGCGTGAGACCTCAAAATTTATCCAACCTCCACCAATAAGTGCTGTTTGTTTCACCAATCAAATCTCTATAAAACTGTAATAATGACACTAATAAAAGAGCAGGGAAAATAACAGCATGTTAAAATCCCATCCCAAAGTAAACAGCGGCTTTTTTTTGGGGGGGGGGGTGGAAAAATCTGTATTTTTCCAATCTTCCCTCACGCCCCCCTCAAAACAAAACAAAACCCACTGCCTTGACGTCAATTCCGACTCATAGCGACCCCCATGGGTTTCCGAGGCGGTAAACCTTCACGGAAGTAGGATTGCCCAGTCTTCCTTCCGCGGAGCGGCTGATGGGTTCCATCCACCAACCTTCTGGTGAGCAGCCAAATGCCTTAGGCACTGCGCCACCAGAGCGCCTGTCCCGCTGCTCCCCACGACTTTTTAATAAATTGTGGCCATTTAAAGCCATCGCCAGCACACAGGGCGTTACACCACCCATCAGCAGGGACCGCTATCGCTGGGCAAATCCCCTCCCTACCCCGCCCTCCTTCCCCGCGTGCCCAGAGCCACCGTGAGGCCCAGGAACCAGGAAGCCGCTTCCCAAGGCCGGGCTGAACGTGGGTGTGCGGTGTGTCCCGCGGACTTTTAAGCCACAGCAGGAGGCTCAGAGACCCGGCAGAGCTCAGTGACGCGAGCTCCCCGGGCTGGCCCCAAAAGAGCACTTGGGCCGACGAACTCGACGGAGTTCCTAGCACGGATCTCTCCCGCCTCCTGAGGTCGCCCCTCTGACGGGCTTGGCCCCTCGCCGCCTGAGTTCGCCTCTCTGACAGATCGAACCTACCACCGCCCGCGGTCCGACGCTCTGACAAAACCACCCTGCCGCAGCCTCAGTTCGCCCGTCTGACGGATCGCGCCCCTCGCTGCCCGAGCTCGCCCGTCTAAGAAGCTTGACCGCCCGCCGGTTAAGTGCACCCTACTGATGGGTTCGACCCCCACCGCTCGAGTTCGCTGCTGTGATGGGCTGGGAACCCCCCGCCGCCCGCAATAGGCCGGTCGACAACACCCACCTGGTCTCGGCCCCTTACGCTGCCTCTCTTCCCGCGCGAGCCCTGCGGTGGGACACGCCCCGCGGAGGGACACAGCGGATCACAGATCCCGCCCCTGTTCCGCCGAGAGCGCCGGATCTACTTCCCTTAAAGGGCCAGGCTTCTACAGGAAGTTTGGCGGGCGGGAAAGGGGGAGGGGCCGCCGATTTCGTCGGGCTCTCCCAAGGTTTGGTCCTCGCAGGGGTCAAAGGGGACCCTGGCCCAGAGAGGTCGCGTGGGAGGCAAAAATCCCGGGGAGTAACCGTGACGTCTCGACCCCTTCCCTAAGGCTACACGGCGATCCGCTGCCTAGCAACCGTGGAACGGCCCCTGACGCCATTGGCTGGTGCCCATGGTCCGAGTGGCAGGCGCGTGGGGGCGGGGGTGGAAACCTTAGGCAGAGGTCATCCGGAGAGGAGAAGCCTGAGGCAGGGCCCCCTTAGAGGGGGTGGGCAATCCCTCGTGTGCGCGGGGCGGAGCCTCTCGGTGCGTGGCGACTGTAGGCGGGGCTTAGCTGCCGGGTTGTGCTGTCCGTTGAGCCTTGGGACCCGGCCTGGCCGTAGGCGGGAAGGGCGTGGCTCGGGAGGCGCCGTTGGTTGGCCGGCCGGCGGACGCGGGCGGGCCATGGCTCTATTTCTGTGCCTTGGCCTGACGGCGGCGCTGGCCCGTGGCTGCCTGCACTGCCACGGCAACTTCTCCGAAAAATTCTCCTTTTACCGCCACCACGTGAACCTCAAGTCCTGGTGGGTCGGCGACATTCCTGTGTCGGGTGCGCTGCTCACCGACTGGAGCCAGGACACGATGAAGGAGCTGCACTTGGCCATCCCCGCCGAGATCAGTGAGTGCGCACTGGCCCGGGCACACCCACAGCCCCAAGGGCCCCCGCCCCTGGCCCTCCGACCCCGGATCCTGGGCCCGCAGACCGCAGGCCGCCCACCCACCGCCCCTTCCTCCCGTCCGTCCCCAGCCTGGGAGAAGCTGGACCAGGTGGCCAAGGCCGTGTACCAGAGGATGGATCAGCTGTACCAGGGAAGGATGTACTTTCCAGGTAAGGAGGAACTCGGGGCAGGGCCCAGCCCGCGGACAGTCCCCCCACCCCACCCACATACCGTGAAGCCACCTTCTTTCTCTGCTTCACCCATCAGGGTATTTCCCCAATGAGCTGCGCACCATCTTCCGGGACCAGGTGCGCCTCATCCAGAACGCCATCATCGAGAGTGAGCACGAGTGGGCACAGGAGGTGCCCAGGGCCCTGGGCGGGGGCGGTGGGTTGCTGCCAGGGTCTTGGAGGGGGAAGGGGGGCGGGAGTGCAAGTATGCTGCAGAGGTCCCCAGGGCCGGGTTCCCTCAGAGCGGCTGACCTGGCACCAGGCCTGGGTGGTCTGGACCGCTACAGCAGGGCAGAGGGGACTGGAGGGGACAGCAGGCCCGCTGCCCTCACCACAGGAGTTGCCATCACAGCGTTTGAGCAATAAATGCCACCACCTCTTCCCTCTATCCCTTCTCTGGTTCCTGGAGGGGTGTTGAAGGCAGTGCCAGGGGTCCCAGGACCAGTGGGAGCATACTGCCCTCTTGATCCCCCACAGGCCGCATCGACTGTCAGCGACACTGCGGTAAGTGATGCCCCTGCATGGGCCAGGCGGTGGCAGCCCAGGCCAGGTCCCAGGGGAGCCGTTGCCTGTGTTGCAGGGATCTTCCGGTATGAAACCATCTCCTGCAACAACTGCACCGACTCCCATGTCGTCTGCTTCGGCTACAACTGCGAGTAGGGCTTGAGGGCCTAGGCTCGGCACTCCTGGGGTGGGAGGGGGACAGGGGCTCCCCACTCACCCAATACCCCTCCCGCAGGTCATCAGCACAGTGGGAGAGAGCAGTGCAGGGCCTCCTCGAGTACATGTGAGTGGAGTCCTAGGGTGGCCTCTGGGCTCAGGGAGGGGATGCCAAGCTGGGACAAGTGGCCCTGACCTGGTCCTCCACTCTTGTAGAAGTAGGTGGCACAAGTAAGTCCCCCTTTCCTCAAATGGGACCTCCTGTCAGAGGCAGTGGGGGTGTGCGTGAGCATACCTCCCCACGGGGTGAGTATATGCTAGGCACACAGTCTCATGGAGGAGCCACCAGGGGCCAGACCTGCCCCCTGCCCCCTCCCCCCTCCCTGCAGGGTCTCCCTGCCCCATGCCCCTGGGATGGCTTTGCACTGCCCAGGCCTCAGGCACAGGCTCAGCCTGGAGCTCAGGGTCTAATTGGGCCCTTGTGTCTTTCAGACGGGACACCAACATGAGGTAAGGCTGCCAGCTGTCCTCTCCAAAGCCCCCATCTTCCCAGAGGAGGGGTCCAAGGGAGGGGAGGGGTGACTGGGGTCCTCCAGGGTTTGGGGGGCATGGTGGGCACAGCTCGGAGTGTTCTCTGCACATGGACATGCCCGGACATCACCTGCACAATCACACCCCACGTGACCATTCCACGAACCAACCGCAAGCTCCTCCTCCTCCCCACCGGCTGCTCAGAACCACCCCAGCCTTGTGAGTGACGTGGGGAGGGCGCTGCATGGACAGGAGGGCATGCCTGGGCCCCAAATTCAAAACCCAGTGCATTTGCCGTAAGCCCCACTAGTCCCTTTCTACCCCTGGCCATGTGGGTATTTGGGTGGTGACCCAGTTCCCAGCTCTTGGGGTCGGATGGAGGCAGGCGCAGCTGCTGACGGCCAGTGTCCCTGCAGCCTGATCTCTCCAGGCTTCCCGTGTCTGGAGCCGCCACACCTGGCCAACCTGACACTGGAAAACGCCTCTGAGTGCCTGACCCAGCACTGATGGCTGTGGCCCTGCCCTGCTCAGTGGGGCCAAGATTCTGCAGGCCAGCTGGCCAGACCTTCCTGGAGCAGGCGCACTACTGCCCTGGGTCCCACCAAAGCCCGAGCCTGTTGGGCGGGATGAGGGCAGGGAGGTGGCCCTTATATATAGCTGGCACCAGCTCCGGCAGGCTCCCAGTGCTTCGCCGGGGCCATTAAACTGCCCCGACATTTCTTGATTACTTTCTGTCCACACGGGCATGATTGTTTGGGGGTTGGAGGCTGGTTGCCAGGTACAGAGGCAGCCTCTCCATCATGGGCCAGTCTGAGCTGGGAGTGACTGATGGACCCAGGAGTCAAAACCAAAATGGGTCAGAGTGTCCTGGGGCCCCTGAGCCAAAATCCCACAAGCAGAGCATCATGAAACGACAAAGGTTCAGTCCCTCATAGTCTGGAGGCCAGGAGTGCAACCAAATTCAGGCTGTCAGTTGGCCCTTGCTCCCTCCAAGGCTCTAGGGGTGGGTCTTCGTCACCCCAGCATCTAGTGGCTCCAGGCAGTCACCAAGCATGTGTTCTGCCGGTCTCCCAAACAAGCCCCTTCCACGTGCAGCATTCTCAGCATTGCATGAGGCTCTGTTCTGTGATGATCAGGGCTAGCACGGTTTTCCATGTTCCAGTGTTTGGGTCATGTGACAAGCAGCACAGGGGTCAGGGTCCCCATGTCCTGTCCGGACAACACTCGTAGCACAGGCTGTGAGATGGGCATGGGGCAGCTTGAGGCAGGGCGGAGCTTCAGAGCAGGGAGGGCAGTGGACACCGGAACGCGTCCACCAAAGGGGCTGTTTGCGCATCTCCACACGGCTGTGGGCTCAGCAGTGCTCGACCTCGGCCTCGCCTCTACCACTGGTGCTCTCTGGGCCTTCCTTCTCTTGCATTCATGGGGCCTAGGGCTCCTTCCAGTACCAGCAAGGGCCCTGCAGGGAGTCCCTGGATGCCCACATTCCAGACACCATCTCCAGTGTTTCATGGCTGCTATTCTACTATAAGAGATGCCTGGGTAGCACAAGACGTTTGTGCTCAAAAATGAACCTAAAGGTTGGCAGTTCAAATTCACCTGGCAGTGCTGTGAAAGAGGGGCCTGGCAATCGACTTCTGTAGAAAGCCCTGTGGGGCAGTTCTACTGCATACACGGGGCCACCAGGAGTCAGAATCCGCTCAATGGTTGAGTGCTTTGGGGTTCTCACAGGAAAGTCTAAATTTTGTTCATTGAAACTCAGCATTTAAAAGATCAAACTCAGCAGAACTTTATAAAACATAGGTGGGGAAAGCCAGTCACATTCCAGGCGGAGCATAAGGCTGCTGCAAATGTGGAGGGACAGCGTGCTATCTAGCATCCCTGTGTCACTTTCCCACATGGAAGCAAGAGTTGGGCACATTCAATGTGATGTTCGGGAAGGAGGGCTGGGGAAACGGCAGCATGCAAGGTGCCTGTGCCCTCCAGGGTCTCCCTCGGAATCTGGCACCCCCGGAAGCAGATGCAATGGGGTCGATTGGGCGTGCCTCCGCCTCCCCTTCCCCTTAGACTCACTGGCCCGTCTGCACTGTGAGCCACATCCCATCAGGTTAGGCCTCTGTCCAGCTAGCCCAGATGGCTTCCCGTCAGTAAAGCCAGGAGAGGTGGCCAATTAGAAAACCAAGCAGCATGGGACTAAGCCATGCCCCCACTGGCCTCCGGGCGTCTGTTGCTGCTCCGCACCTCCCCTTATCTGCCAAGCCCAAGAGCCCAAGCTGTGCGGGGCAGTACACCTGAGGCAGCCACAGAAAGGATGGCCTTTCACAGCCATTGTGACTCCAGTAATCCTGACCCTGTCAACCAAAGGGCCCCAAGGCCCTCTGCCATGGGGAAGGGCCATCCTGGAGGACTCAGGGGCCTCAAGACAGTTTGAGCCCCGGCCTAGGACGTGCGGCAGTGACACCAGCTGCGGCAGGAGTCGTGAGGTGTAAACTGTTTTGTGATTTTATTGGATCATCTTGACACACAATCATTACAGCAGCGTGGTGTGTCTCTTCCGTGTGCTGGATTGTTGATAGCCCACAAGTTCCCGTAACACATCACACCGTTTCCGAATGCTAGAACCACTGCACAGGCCCACAACAGACCTCTGCATGCTAATGTGACAGCTGTCATCAGAAGACACATTAAAACGGCACTGAGGACCAGCGGCTCTGAGGGAAGCCGTCCCACGTGAGCGCGGGTTGGTGCAGAGGCCCAGCGCCCAGCCTGAGACTGCACCCAGCCGCCTCTTGCCCAGAAGGCAGTGTGCCTGGGGTCTGCCGCTGAGCAAGGCCACGAGGGGCCCATGGGGAGTGTATCCCTCTTCATCACAGGCTTCCTTCACCCTGGGCCCCTCCCGACAGCTGCAGGTATAATGAAAGACACTTTTTGTGGTGTGGACAGTGATGAAGTGGAGGGGACCCCACAACAAGCAAACAAGACACAACGAACAAAAAAACAAAAAAAGGCCAATTCCTCCGTGTCAGTGATTCGGCCACACCCCCACTACCGCGCGGGCTCACGCACATGCCTGAGGCGGCAGCCCCACCCACCTCCACGCCGTGCCCTTCTCTGCAGCAGCTGGACCCTCAAGTCGGGGACCCTGGGCCCGGCAGCTGGTGGTGGATGGACACCAAGGACACAGACAAGAAACAAGAGCCCACACACCCGTGCTCCCAGCGCAACGTCCTGGTGACAGAACCTGACCAGCGGCCCAGAGCAGCAGAGCAGACGGCCCCAGTCGCAGGCGCCATGGTCAGGCTGTCTCAGGACTGTGTCCTCAGTGGCTTTATGACGGCCGCTGGCAAGGGCTCACCCCAAGGAGGGGAGTGGAGATGGGGGTGGGGTGCATCAGCCCCACCCTGGCCCCTGAGCTCCTGGACCACCTACCCTCCCCCTGGGGCCCAGGACAGTGGTCACCTCTGAGTCGGCCCCCAGCACAGAGGCGCGCCGCACCAGGCTAGGGCCCGCTGGTGAAGGGGTCCCTGGACTGGAGTAGGGCTTCTTGTCAAAGAGAGTGAAGAGTCAACGCCAAAAAGGTAATAAAATAAACCAACGCAACGAATGGGCCATCCACACAGGCCGCGGAGGACGTCACTTAAATGCACCTGTAGACGGGGAGGTGGCGCTGTCAACAGCAGCAGCTCAGCACTGGGCCAGCGTCACCTTCAACTCATCCAGCAGGTTGCCTAGGAGGGTCGAGTCGCTGCACTTGCCATCGACCGACACGGAGTTCTCACCCTGCAGGGGACACAGGCCACTGGCATTAGAGAGCGACACCAAAATAGGACTCACTGACTAGATCAATAGCACTTTTCGTATTTCAGGGTATCTGTCTGTACATTAAGGAGCTCTGATGGCAGTGGTTAAAGTGCTTGGCTGTAAACTGAAAGGTATGCAGTTCAAACCCACCAGCCGCTCCACAAGAGTCTGCTCCTGTGAAGATTCCAAAAAACCCCAAACTCACGCTATAGAGTCGATCTCAACTCGTAGTGACCCCTTTTGGATTTCCAAGGCGGTATCTCTACGGAAGTAAATTGCCCAGTCTTCCTTCCGCAGAGTGTCTGGTGGGTTTTAACTGCCAACCTTCTAGCTAGCAGTCAAATGCTAGCTTTGGAAAACCCTATGGGGCAGTTCCACTCTGTCCTCTATGGGTGCTGTGGCAATCATTGAAAAAAGGGAGTGGTTCTGGTAAGATGGGACAAGCACACACAGCCTGCCTCCCCTCCAGTGTGCATGAGACACGTGCGGCTGGACGCCTGGAACACCATCTGAGGGTGCTGGGAAGTGGACGGTGGCAGGTGGACTGGGAACAGGAGCAGAATTGGAAGAACCCTGAGCTGGTGGAGGCTGCCATTTTCTCTCCCCCAGCCCTCCTGCCCTGCCACTGGGTCCCCGAGAGAGGGGACAGGAAAGGAGGCAGCAGAGAGGGGATGGGAGAGAGGACAGGAAAGGGGACGGGAGAGGGGACGGGAAGAGAGGAGACGAGAGGGACAGGAGAGAGAAGACGGGGGAGAGGGGCAGCACAGAGAAGGTCAGGGGAGAGGGGAACAGGAGGCAACTGCAGAGACTTGAAGAACAAGAACAAAGGCCTAAGGTTGACATCACTGGAATCTGACAAAGACAGGACCAACAAGCAATGTTAAAATACTCAAGGAAACAATAACTGAAAACTTCCCAAATTTTGCAGAAGCGCCAAATGCCACAGACTCAAGCACCTTAGTGAGTGCCACGCAGAATCGCAGTGCAGAGAATGACTTGGTAGGGCTCATCCAGCCATGGTCTTTGTGACTGCCACAGGGTGACTGGGTGGGACTACGCAAATAGGGTGCCTGTCACCAGCAAGGGGCCTGGATAGCTTAATAGTATAAATAGGGTACATGACACACTTGTGAAGATGGGACCACGCAAATAAGGTCCCCTAACGAGGGGACTGGTCAGTTTCTTCATCCGGCCAGGCTCACAGTGAGCCTCCCAGGCTCATAATCCCCGAGAGGGGGATCCCGCTGCTATCAAGAGCAGCAGCAGGAGCAGCATGCGGCCTCGTACCCGAGAGCGCCACACTGAACCTCCTCCACCCAGGAAACAGGAGTTGTAACGGTTTGCTGAGATGGTGAGAAACAGCAGCATAGAAGTGGTGGCAGCAGAACCCAGACACCAGGCAGGACCTGGCAGGAGACAGTGGGGGGCCTCCGGGTGCTTGTGACACGAGAACTGAGCGTGTGGGGCTGAGGCTTCCTGACAGAGTGAGGCGCCCCCAGAAACCTACTGGCAGAGCTTAAAGAACCTTCCAGCACTTGCCCAAGCAGGGCAGAGGCCGAGTGCCCACGAGAAGCGTGCTGTGGGCACAGCTGCAAAGAAGCTGTCCTCGTCAGGGAACCATACCCTGCGTCGTTCCTGATCCTGAATGACAACCTGTTGCTTCCCTAACCAAACCCATAATCCTGAATACTGTCTGTGAGTTCTGTGTGGTCACTGCAACAAATTATCAAACCCAGCTGGAAGCGAGCTAGAAGGTGAGGAGGCTGGAGGGTGGCAGCATGTGTGACCTCCCAGGAATCGCCTGGGGCTGTTAATCTTGATCCTCCTCCCCCTCTTGTGAAGTTACAGGAAGTCAGATGAGGCACTGATGCCATTTTGACAGGATAAATCCAGAGACATCTGAACTCAAACACTTGCTCACACTACTGAAAACTAAACACAGAAACTAGCTCCAAAGCGTCCCAAGGACAGCGCCACGCCGCCCCCCGGGAGACATGGGGGCAGTGTGAAACCTACAGGAGGTGCATGACATGAGTGGGGGGTATCCTGTGCAGGGTCCACTTGCCAGCTGCGGGCTCACCTTCTTCACCAGGAGGCAGGCGTGGTGGCCCTGGATGGAGCGACTGTACATGGAGGCGCAGGAGTCCACCCGTTCTACAACTGAACACAGGGCGGGTCAGCCCCGGCACCCACCCCTCCTCAGCACAGAGAGGTGCGGGCTCCGGGCCCTGTGCCCTCTCCAACACGGGTGCGGGAAGCTCCCGGCCTCATGCTCTGTCCAGTACAGGGCAGGTAAGCCCCCAACCTGCACCCTCCCTGACACAGGAGAGGACAAGCTCCCAGCCCCACGCCCATCCCCCACACGGGTGGGCAAGCTCCGGGTCCCATACCCCACCCTAGGCACCTTCAGGGGGCAGCTCTGAGAGCCCAGGAATCGATAAGATGGGGCAAGTGCTGCACACCCGAGAACAAGCCCTTAAGGTCACGGGGAGCCCATGGCACGTGAGCTACAGACGGCATGTGAGCCGCAGACAGCATGGGGTGCTGGCAGGGTGCATGTGCAAAGTAAGGCCATGCCATCCAAAAACTGAACTAAATCCAATACCAGAAAAATGGTGGTGGAAACAAATCTTCGCTAGAAGGTTCTGGAAGGACATGGTGATGCCCTCGACTCTGATGGAGCTCATGCTGAGGTCCCCCGACTCCAGCAGCTTGGCAAAGGCGTCACTGTGGGGAGGACAAGGACAGGGGTGACAACGTGGATCTATTCCAGTAAGGAGGGCCAGGGATGCCCTAGACCCACAATGCTCTCTTGTGACCTGCCAGGACACTCAGGTCAGGGTACGGCTGTGCAGTGGCTGAGTGGGGGCCTCAGCCCATGGTGCCCCCTCCCAATGGGCCTGTGCCCCGCCCACCCGGGCTCCTTCAGCATCCTCCATGGTGGGGCTCACCTGGAGCAGGGCGTGGTGATCAGATATGAGGTGCAGCTGAAGTGCAGCTTGAAGTCGAGCTTCTCATGGGTCGAGCCCTCGTCATTCTACAACAAAGCCAAGGCAGTAGCGAACAGTGGCAAGGGGCGCGACTCAGCACTGCCCTGCAAACAGGCCCCGCCCCCCTCGCCCAGCTGCCACTCTGCACATGGCTCACCTTGGCAATGAAAGACAGCGTGCCTTTGAGCTTCTGGGCCATAACGATGCTCTGTACAGTGAACACAAACCGTGCTTCATTGGAGACACCTAACAGGCAAGAAAGACGAGGGCTGAGCAGCCCAACCACAGACACTCCCAAGCACGTCAAACCCCAGAGCACCAGCTGGGACAGAGAGGTTAGGGCACACTACACCCCGACCAGAGGAGACCAGGCCAGGGGTCGGGCAGGGGAAGCACACGGATGGGCCTGACCATGGGAATGCAGCTGTCACTGCACACCTGGGGGCAGCTGGAAGGGCACGGGGACCCCATCGTGCACAGAGGCACCCTCCGGCCGGGTCATCTTGGTATTGAGTGAGTCTAGAACGTTGAGCTCCATGTTCTTGAGGAAGCTGGCACTGAGGTTCTCCAGGATGATGGACACGGTGACCTGGCTGTCCTTCTGCAGGCTGCCCTGCACGTCGTATGTCTGCAGAGCCCAGAGACACCAGTCAGAGCAACAAGGGCAGTCTCTAACTGTGAGGGCTCAGAGCAACGGGTAGTCCGCGTTGCCGCGAGCGGGCAACACGGGGCCCACTTGCTCCGTCATCTGCTGGCAACACTGCACGCACCACCACCTTGCTCTGATGCCAGCAGGGCCTGTGACAGGACGCAGCCGGGGGTGATGCATGCCCTGGGTACTCACTGCCGATCAGGATCGCCGACCCCTCCCTGGGAGCTCCCATGCCAATAGGGAAAGGTCCTCATGGGCCCCGGGACCTGCATGGTGTACCAGCACCTCACTCACCATCTTGATGTAGGAGTTCTCGGCGAGAAGGCAGTAGCTGGACATGGGCTGAAAGGAAAAGAAAGAAGCCCCAGTGCAGGTGACAGGCCTGTGGCCACTAGCGGTCCCGTGTGCAAACCACTTTAACCCTGAGAAAGCCGGCGGGAGCAGGCACCAGGTAGCAATGCTCAGGGCTGAGCACTGACTTGGCCCCAGGACACGGAGCATGCACGGTGTCTTCCTACCACCATGCCCAGAATGCCCACAGCCAGGCCCCTGTGAGGGGTGGGGCTCTATGTGGAGTGGGGAGCTGGGCTGTCATGTCCACATGCCCTGCTTGTGTTTGTGTGTGCACGTACACATGCGGGAGATTGCTCTTCCTGCAAGGTGGGAAGCTGGGTTGTCGTGTCTGCCCTGTCACGGACACGTGTATGCTTGTCCTGCGTGTGTGTGTGTGTGTGTGTGTGTAGGGTTGTCCTGCAAGGAAGGTGGGGAGCGTAGGTGGGGTGTGTGTGTGTCAGTGGTCATCCGTTGTGCAGGGTGAGGAGCTGGCCTGCCATGCCCGCCCGCCCCACGTGTGTGGGGTGTACCCTGTGCAGAGGGCACTGCCACTCACCGGGAGAGGCTCCCCCTCCGGCGTGCCGTTGTGCATAGGCTCCTCCAGCACCTCCTCACCGAGGGGCTTCTTCCTGCGGGCCTTCTTCTTGTCTTTGGACTTCTCCTCCTTCTCCTTCTTGTGCTTCTTCTTCTTATGCTTGGAAGGCTTCTGCAATGGCAGGGCAGCTGAGGTCAGCCCTGACCTGGCACATGAGGGCCACCTCTCAGCTCTGGGTGCCCTGCAAGCCTGTGCCTGCTGGAAGCTGGCCACACCCTGCACCGCCATCACCACGCCTGGGCCACAGGGCCAACTACGTCCAAGCCAAGCACAATTAGGGAAGTGGGGCAGGCAGGATCTGAGCCTGAAGGCCTACGGGGACAGACAAGGCAGGACCCGGATGAGGCAGGGGCCCAGGCCCTCGCTGGGCACCGGATGCTCAGAGGACTGGTCACTGCTGATTGGAGCAAAGATGCAGGTGAACCGGCAAGGCCTTCACCACATGAGGGCCAACAATTCCACTCCTGGGCCTACAACCAAGAGACCTGAAGGCACGGATACATCAGACAGCTGCGCCCGTGTTCACTGCAGCCTGTTCACAGGTGGAAACCTCCCATGTGTCCGCCAACGGGGTGGACACACACAACACACTATATTCACACAGGGAGTGCTCCTCAGCCACAAAGGGGCATGAAAGCCTGACACACTACAACGCAGGTGACCGACACACTACGTGAGAGACCTGACGCGCTACAACACAGGTGACCCTGACAACAGGATGCTGAATGAAAGCAATCACAGGAAGACCCAGAGTGTTTGATCCCATGATGTGAAAGGACCAGAGCAGGAGGATCCAGAGACAGAGCAGAGGAGGGTGTGGGGAGCTGCTGCTGTGACCATGACATGGGGACACCTGGCCCACGGCCCCACCTTCTCCAGCTCTGGCTCCTCGTCATCCTCTTCGTTCTCTGGCTCCTCCCTCTTCAGTTCCTCACACTCTTCTTTGGGGACAGCAACGACAGCGTCCACCCCAGGTTCACCCTGCAATGAGAGGACAGGGACCATGGCACAACACCCTGGAACAGCCCTCGAGCCAGGACCCCACATGCATCACACCCCAGGACAGCCCCTCGAGCCAGGACCCCACGGTGCATCACAACCCAGGATTGCCTCCTGAGCAGGGCCCCCAGCGCACCCTCAGCCTGAGGAAAGGAGGCAGTGGTTTGAGCAGCACGTGAGCCCCTGGTGCCCTGGTGGCCGCTTGAGGAAATGAGGCTACTCTCTGGGGTCCCTGGATGCAGAAGCACTGCTGGCCGGGCCAGCCATCCCACAGACCCCGCCCCTCCCCTGGCACCTCATCAACACATACAGTGACTGCTCCAGCCGAGCCTCAGCCCTCAGGGCCCTAACTGGCATCACCGTGGGCACGGGGCTTGACATGGGCAGTGGGAGACTGCACTCACTGAAGAGCTGGCTGTACCCTCACTAGGCCACCTCAGACCACCACCATGGCTGCATCGTGTAGAGCCAGTATCCCTGATCACTCCCGAGGTGACCCAGCCCACATGGGGACGGCCAAGGTCATGAAAGATGGAACACCATCCGGGCTTGGAGACTCCTGCCAGGCTCTTACCATGGAAGGGGTGGAGCCCGGGGCAGTGGCCAGTGGTGGTGGCGTGGTAGACAGCCAGAAGTCCAGGTCCTTGCCCTGAAGCCAAAGACAACGGCTCGCAGCTAGAGCAGCACCACCCTCCCGAGGAGGATCCAACGGCACCCCGACCCACTGGGCACGGGCTCCCAGAGTGCCTCCCTCTGTCCCTCTGCACAGTCCCCACTGCCTTCCTCCTCCAACTGCAGAGTAGAAGGTGGAAGGAGGCCCGAGCAGCCCCCGCCCGGCCAGCGCCACCTTCTCCTTCTCCTTCCTCCGCTCCTTCTCTCGATGCTTCTTCTCCTTCTTTCTGGGCTTCCTGCCCTTCTTCTCCCCCGCAGGGATGTCCTCTTTGTCAGGGGACTGCGGGGTCTCAGCGTTGCGGTGTTTCTGGACAGGCAGCTTCTCGCTGTCGGCTAAGGGCCTGGGGAGGACAGGCAGGGGTCACTCAACACCTGCTTGTTTCCACAACAGCCCAGGGATGGGTGCTGCGAGCACGAGAGCCGCACCAGCCCAGTGCCTCCCTCAGGCAGCTCCAGCAGACACCCAGGACGAGAGGGGAGAAGCGTCCCTGCTGCTGCTCCTCCATTTGCTCAGCCCAGGACACAGGGGACGGCAGGGACAAGCCAGCATGAGATGCAGTCTGCACCACAGACGTGGCCATGCTCAAGAGCAGCAAACAGGGACAAACACACATTCCTCAGGCCACTCTGAGCACCAGGCCCGCCCCACAGGCCTGTGGTGCAGCACAGGCCCTGACATCCCATCCTGGGTCCCCAGATTGGCGGAGGTCAAGTGGGCAGGATGCTGGCAGCATGCCCTGCTGCCCGGCCATGACCTGGAGCTCGAGGGCCCTGAGCGCCACCTGCGGAGGGAGCCACAGCCGATCCCAGCACAGCCCACAAAACCCCAAGCCCGGCACCATGGGTAGCCGCCATCGCCTGATGGCGGCCCACACGCCACACGCTTTGGAGACAAAGCGCCAATCCACTGAAAGGGGCTAAAGGGCGGAACTCAGCTGACCCATGAGGCGTCCGAGAGCAGCCTGAGGCACAGAGAGAGACGGCCACGGGGCAGAGAGAGACAGAGAGATGTGGCAGACACACGGGGCAGACGGGAGGACGCAGCAGAGGATGAGGCGGGGGGAAGACAGAGAGCGTGGTGAGAAGGTGGGGGGCAGGGTAGGGGATATAGGGCCTTGTGCACCTGCAGCCCCCGAGACACAGAGGGCCCCGGAGGGTGAGCTGAGTACTCTGGGCCCCTGCCTGGTTGCCCCCGGGAAGGTGCAAAGGCCCACTTGTGGAGCAAACCCCTCCCCTCTGGAGGGCTCAGGGCAGGAGTTGGCAATGTGCCTGCCGCCTGACGAAGGCCCTTCTGTAGGCACAAAGGGCTGCCCAGCACACCTTGATCCCACAAAAGCCAGTGTTGTCGGGTACTGTCCAGTTGGTTCTGACCCCACGCAAGAGAACCACCCTGTGCCTTTCCAGGCTGATAGTCACGTCTTTCTCCTGCCATGCCACTGGGTGGCCTCAAACTGCCAACGTTTCAGTTGGCAGCCACGCTCTTAACCACCATGCCACCAGGGCCCCTAGGTACAGCACCTGGAATGTCTAACACAAGGCTGAAGAGAAGTGAGGGCCACTGTGTACCAGGGCTCCCAACAAGGCCAGCCGGGGCTGTATGAACAGCAACTGCCACCCAACAGCAGGGCTGCTGCAAAGGCTGCTTGGGGCCTAAATAGGGGCCCCTTGCCACACGCCTGCCCAGCACAGACACACAGGCTGAGGGACAGCTCCCAGGGGCAAGAGCCCCCTTTTGATGGGGCCACCAGCACACGTGCAAGGACTGACTTCTAAGCACAACCAGGTGTGCCTGTGTGAGGGAGCGTGCTGGGGGCACACAAGAACAGAGCAAGCAGGACAAAGGCAAGGCGGGGACAGGCTCCTGGAACTCTCAGACCTCGGCTCTCAGCAACTGAGGAGTCTGAATGCAGTGGCCAGAGTCACGGGGGAGGGTGGAGGAATGTGCTGGCCAGGGCACCACGGGAGAGGGCAAGGGAACGTGCTGGCCAGGGCGTCACGGGAGAGGGCAAGGGAACGTGCTGGCCAGGGGGTCATGGGAGGGCGGGGCAACACGCTGGGCAGGGCATCACAGGAGAGGGCAAGGGAACGTGCTGGCCAGGGGGTCATGGGAGGGTGGGGGAACACACTGGCCAGGGGCTCACAGGAGAAGGGGAAGAGAACATGCTGGCCAGGGGCTCACAGCTGCTCCAACCTCGAGTGGCCTGAGGCCTTCTCCCTGAATCTTCCCTAGAAGCCCTGCTCCACCCACCTGGGAGCCTCTCTCAGTGCCCTGCAGGCTCATTGGGCTCTGTGTCTACTCCAATACCATCCCACTCCCTTGGCACCAGAACCCCAGGACCCGGCACACAGGATGGAGACCTCTGCAGAGGGTCTTAGGAACGACCGAGGGAAAACTGCCGAGGACAGTGGGCAGCCCGGCCTGGCACCTCAAGGGGTAGCCTAGCCACCTGTTTCAAGGGACCTCCTGGCCCGGCCCCGCCCTCACCCAGCCTTGCCCCAAACCACTGCTGGTGTCCACCTTACCTGTCCAGATCAATGTCCAGGGCCCTGTAGGGGTCATTGGGGTCTTTGTCATCCTCATCACTGGGTAGAGCATTCTGAAGGGGGAAGGGGGAAGGACTCTAATTCAGTTCACCAGCAAAGCAGCCAAGACCCCACCTGATGGCCCACGTGCCCCCAGCCCTACAGTTCACGCCCTGGGGCATGTTCAGTAGGCGTCATCTTGACCGTGAAGATCAGAGGAAACCCTCTGCCAGAGACTGTGCACAGCAAGAGCATAGGGGGCCTCACGGGGAGGGAGGCACAGACACAGAGTGAGGGGCAGAGGAAGAGGCCCCCTGGGGAGTGGGGTACAGACAGAATGAGGGGCAGAGCAGGGGGCTCATGGTCAGTCTAGGCATGGGGATAGTCAGGGCAGTGGGAGATGCTCCTCCCAGAATGCAGATGTGGGTGTGGCTGCCCAGGCTCAGACAGCATCCTGGACCCAAGGGGCGCACCTCGGGCATCTCCTCAGTGACGATGTCCACCTGCTGCGCGGGTGCGATGTCCTCGTCACTCTCCGTCTGCAGCGAGCTGTGGCGCCGATGCCGGCCCTCGCGCCGCTTCTCCTTCCGCTGCTTCTTCCGTTTCCGGTCCTTCTCCAGCCTCTGTCGGTGCCGCCGCTCCTGCTCCAGCTTCACGTACTGGTCTGACGCGGGCATCCCTGTGGGGCGCTCGCTCAGCCTGGGGCTGGTGGGCCAGGCGGACAGGTGGATGGGGATGGCCCTGTGATGCTGAGCACGGTCGTAGTGCTAGAGCGCGTGAGCAGGGGCAGTGACACCTGGCTGGCCCACTGCAGGTAGGGGAACGGGGCACACCGGCTGCCCCCACCAGCAGCACCCAGCACACAAACCCCATGACACTTGCCTGGGACTTTCAATGGGACCGAGAGATCGATCTGGACCACAGGTATGTGCTCCACGCCTGGTGTGTCCTGGTACCGCTGGGGGACAAAAGCCAGGTAGTCATTGGAGGACCACCACAGGGGCACTGTAGGGGATGTGCTTGTGGGCCCCAGGAAGCACCCACTGGGACAGCTAGCCTCCACATGAGGCCCCAGGCAGCATTGTTGTCTCTGTGCATCTACGAGAACCACTTTGCTGTAGCAGACCCCAGTGAGCACACTGGGGGTCAGCACTCTTCCCAGAGTGTGGGGAGGGCTTGGGGCTGCGTGCAGACATCCCTACCTTTGGGAGGACTCAGGGACCGCTCATCCCAGAGTGTCTGTGTGTGGGGTGCGCCTGGAGCCGTGTGCAGACACCCCGACCTCCTGCAGGAATGCAGGAGCCCACCCTCACCAGGGGCTCGGGACCGTGTGCAGGCATCCTTACCTTCTGCGGGGATGGGGAGCTCTTAATGTAGAATGGGTTGTTGGCCTGCTCCTGTTTCCGGGCTTCACGTCGCTGCGGGGCAGGGGGCACTCATGTCAGCAGCTGCTTACAAGATGGACCCTGAAGCTGCCCTGTGGCTCCTCAGCCCAGGGGCCAGGGGGGCACCATCTCAGGCCAGAGACCAGGCAGGGGGCAAGAGCAGTACCAGCAGGATGGAAGCTATGCTGCCTGGGAGGCCCCAGAGCAGGTCAGAGGTCAGAGGTATCAGAACCTGTCAGGCTAACCACTCCCAGGCCCAGATCTCGGGCCACAGGACACACTGCCCAAAAGCTCAGCCTGGAGGACAAGGGCCATCAGTGCACAGGGCCATGTATTAGGATGAGGGTGGCACCGGCCCTGGGCGGAGGGCGGGGTCACGGGAGGGCTGTGCCACTCCTCCTCCCATGGTCAGGAAAGGGGACCACTTCCTTTTGAACAAAGAGGGACCTCCTTGGAGACTGGGGGACACAGATGTTCTCCACTTGGGCAGAAGGACTCTAAACACCCCTACGAACAGTGCGCACAGCCCATCTGGCCGAGTCTCTTGGAGGCCAGCACGAGACAGGGCACCTGTAGGCAGACAGCGCCCCTCTGGGGAAGCTCCAAGTTTTAACAGGGATGTTTCCACTAACACCTGGGCTCGGCCCCACACTTCAACCCCAGTCCAACCACCCACGGGACAGAGCCCGACAGGAGTGCCCACGCCGAAGGGCTCGTTTCTGGGGGTGTGAGAGGCAGTTCTGGAAGCACTCCCCGACCCGTGGCACTCACCCGGGCCAGTTCCTCCTCGTCCACCTCTGGCTGCCGGTGCCGCGGAGGCTTCTGCTCGTCGTCATGGAAGATGGCCTTGGGTGCCTCATCCTCGGACTCACTGTCAGAGGGCGGCTCGTTGATCCAGGCATCCAGGTCCAGGCTGCAGAAGACGAGCCGGTCTCACTCAGGACCCAACCAGACCAGTGTCCACAGCTCCCCACACACAGCGCCATCAGCCCCCACCACGGTCCCTCAGAGAAGGCCACCTGCTGGGGGCCACCAGACAGGACCCTGAGTTCAGCACTGACACCCTTGCCCCCTGTGGTACACACTCAGGGCTGGCAGACTTGCTGCTGGGTAGCCAGGCACAGGGGCCATACGCAGCCCCTCCCACCTCCTTCCTATCATGTGAGGGGATCCGTGCACCCTGGCAATTCTGAGGACATAGGAGAACATGAGCCCAGGGTCTGGACCAGGTAGGCTTGGTGGGGCCTCTCACCCGTGTCCTCACCTGCGGGAGCCCAGACCACACGTGCCATTAGTTCTCTCCCCCAGTGGCTCCAGGTGCCTCAACCCCACAGGCTTACCCCTCAGGGATGGGGACCTTCTTCTGGGCCTTGGGGGCCACCGGGTTCAGCTCCCCAGCAAAGAGAGCACTGACTTCCTCAGCCACCGGCACATCTTTGGCCTGCAGCTTCTGGATGTACTTGACCAACTGCAGGATACAGGATGCCTGCGGGACAGGGACACTGGTGAGCGAGCAGGGCCCCACCTGGGTGACCCAGCCATGAAGATGACCGGTGATCTAAACAAGGACAGTCATAGAGTGCCCTGCTGCTTCCCGCTGGAGCCCCCCCGCACATCTGTCACTGCCTCACACCTACTCCCCTGACCATCTGTCTGCCCTCCCACCCCCACCTATCCCTGCAGCCCACCCCCACCCACCCTGTGCTGCGCGGCCCCCACAACCAGCTGCCTGGCTCCCAAGCCATGGTCCTCCCACCCATCTGCCCCTGCATTGCAGCCTCACCCGCTCCTGGACCTCCAAGTCAGCGCTCTGCACAAACTGAGGCAGCCTGTCCACCAAGAGCTGGGTGGCGGCCTGGGCAGCCTCACGGTCGGCGGCCTGCTCCCGCTGCTGCAGGATGGCTGCATACAGCTTAACCACATTCTGCACATACACCGCCTGGATGTGGCCAGGCAGCGTGGTGACCTTGGGCCGCAGCATGGCCTCCAGCGTCTGTTGGGGCTCCTGCAGGTGCCTGTGGATGGAGGGTGTGTGACCCTGTCGACCCGCCCCACCCTGTGTCTCAGGGAGCCCTGCCCATGCTCTGAGCCAGCCCCACAGTGAGAGACGGGCCAGAGGGGAGGCAGGGCAGCTCACCAGGCCCCCACGGACAACACTTGGGTGAGGGAGAGCAGAGACAGCCATTGAGCCCCCCGCTGGGCCCACTCACTCACTCTGAGAACTCCCCGCAGATCCAGGCAGCAGCATACAGCACCTCACAGATGCCGTTCCGCTGGGTGTTGCTGGCGACCAGGTGGGCGCTGTCCAGGAGTGCTGACATCTGCGACACGGCAAACTTGCGGATGGCCTTCACGCGGATGGCCACGTCTAGCATCTGCGCTGCGATGAGGTGGCCGTGCCGCGTGCCCTCCAGCCGCGTCAGCTCCACCAAGATACTGATGTACCTGTGGGGAAGCGGGGGGCGCTGAGCAAGCACCGGAGACAGTGAGGCTTTCTGCTTCCCGCTCAGGAAATGAAATTCAGAGTGAACTGGGGGGAGAGGAAGTCTGAGATTTCTGAGAGCAGTGACACTATTCGGCGTGATGCTGTAGCTGGGGACAGTATGCACTTGTCTAGACCCTCAGGACCAGACAACACAGAGTGAACCCTGACACCACCTAAAGACTGGCCATTCACAGTCACAGGTGGCTAGTCAACCTGCTCGCTACCAACCACCCAGACGCACCTCAGAGGAAAGGCCCGGCAACTGACTTCACAGGCCTGATGAGTGTGTGGAACACAGCTCCACTCTGAGGCATGCAAGCCTAAGGACAGCCTGGGCTCAGAACCAACATCAGGCAACAGCGATGCATCAATACTGGTCCAGCAATTTTAACAAACATGCCGTACAAAGGAGAAATCAGTATAGCGGAAATAGCACAGAGCATAGAGGTGGCACAGGGACCCTTTGTACTTTCTGTCCTTATTTCTCTACAGACCTAAACCTGCTCTCAAATGGAAAGGCTATTATGGTAACTGATTGACACTCCTTAAATGTGTAAAGCCTGCGGTATGCGAGGTGCATCACGCTCAACACTGTTGACATGCTACTGGCCAGGCTTTGAGAAACTCAGTGTGTGAAGGGTGCTGTATATTCGGAATCGGTTGCTAACAGCTGGACTACACGCAGTGTGAGGTGACCGCACCACTCGAAGTTGGTGATGTACTGATAGTTGGACTGGCTACAGATGTCGATGATTTTTGTGAGGAGCTCGTCCCGGTAAGTGGTGCCCTCTGCCTTGTCCACGTGGGTCATCAGCTTCTTCACAATCTCCATCAGGTTCTTCTTGGACACCTAGGGGGCAGGGGCCATGTGAGTGGGTGGAGCCTGGGAGCACTCCACCTGCTGGTGGTAGAGAGCCTGCGGTCTTGGAGGGGGTGGGCAGCCTGAGGTAGATGCCGGTAAACCTGGACCCCAGGAGCTGAGTTCCTGGCAAGCCAGATACCAGTGTGCCTGGACCACAGCATGCCTGGACCCCAGCCTGGCTGCATTATAATTCCTGAGGGAGATTCACAAGACACAAATCCACGTTTACAAATCTATGTGGGGAAGCAACATATGCCTGCAACACTGAGTATCAGAATGTGGTATTCAGGTCGGGGGTGGGCATGCCAGCTGCCTGCACAGGTCGGGAGACAAGCAGCAGGTCCCTGTGGCTTGGGGGAGGCACATGCCATGCCATAAAGAAGTAGAGAGGGGTGGGGGACACACGCCATGCCACAGGGCAGGTGGAGCAGGGTGGGGGCACGCACCACACACCATACTGCAGGGCAAGTGGAGCGGGCTGAGGGGCACGCACCATGCCATAGAGCAGGTCGAGAGCCCGCAGTCGAATGGACTCGTCCTTGTCATCCAGGCACTGCAAGATGAGGTCTTTGTGGGACTGTACGGACTTGGGGTGCGTCTTCAGTATCTTGGACATGGCTAACAGACCCAGGTACTTCACTGTGGGGCAGACGCATGGCACCGTGAGGTTGCTTGGTGCCCAGGGCAGCACTGGTTGGAGAAAGGCTGAACCAAGGGTCTGTAAGTGCTCAGAGATGGCTCCCCAAACGTGAGCATGGCCCAAGCATGGCAGCCTGTCCTCAGCTGCAGAGGGGGCTCAGACCCCCCCCAAATCCCCCACCACCACTGGGGGGGATCTGAATGCTAAAGACTGTGGGGGGGATCTGAGCATTGATTCACTGAGGGCAGGGGGCTCTGGGCCCTGGGCCCTGGTTTACTGAAGGTGAAGGAGGTAAAGGGAATGACATGGGCATCAGCTTTCTTCTTACAGTTGATGAGTTTACAATCTGGCAGTTTAGGACTTAAGACCCTGAGAAGCCACAGGGATTGGGAACAACTTACAGTTCTGATCGGAGTCTTCTATCAATATCCTCAACTTCTGGACACAAAGCTGCAAGAGACAGAGAGAGGTGAGCGCTGGCTACACCTTGAAAACATCAGCCACCGTGAACACCAGGACTTGAGCCAGCCTGAGGCCAGCCTGCCCTGAGTGCCTGGCAACCTGCCTGTTTTCTGGTCTGGGTAAGGGGGGGAAGGACAATCAGGGGTCACACCTGGCAGTACCAAGGGGTAGAAAGCAGAAAACCGGGGAAGGTCTGTGTGTGGGCAAGAGTTGCTACCTCAACAGGGAGCACTGGGGCTGTTCTCACCTACCGGGGGGGCCTCCAGGGAGCACTGGGGCTGTTCTCACCTACCGGGGGGGGGGCCTCCAGGGAGCACTGGGACTGTTCTCACACACCGGGGGGGGCCTCCAGGGAGCACTGGGGCTGTTCTCACATACTGGGGGGCCCTCCAGGGAGCCTAGATGGAGGTCTCAGGTGGGGTGGTCTGAGCCCCCATCGTGGGAGGTCGCCAAGCAGAGCACCACAACTGTAGGCTGCTGTGGGCAAGTGTGCCCCCTGCCCCAATGCACTGATCTGCACGGGACCAAGTGGGAGTGGGTGGCGAATCACATGGGACACAGCCTGCCTTCAGAGCTCAGATGCTGGGGGGACAGCTAATGATGGGGCAGTGGGGATGGGGCTGGCACCTCCTTCAGTGGCCCTGCTGGTGCCCACAGCCCAGGTGGGGCATCTCATACCTGGATGCTGGCGCTGTGGTTGGGCATGCCAGAAGACAGGGAGATGAGGACTAAAATAGACAACCTCAGGTCAGTGACATCCCACAGCCACTGTCAGACACCAACCCAACATGCCAATCACGAACACCACCCCACAACCAGCAAGGAATGCAAGGTTGAACTGCGCCCACGCCCTGGGTGGTGCAAGCCGTTAAATATATCAACTAGTAGCCACAATGTTGGTGGTTCAAGTCTGCCCAGAGGCAGTTCAGAAGGGAGGCCCAGTGACCTGCTTCCGTAAAGGTCACACCCAGCAAACCCCACAGAGCACAGTTCTACTGTGATGCCCAGGGACACGGAGCTGGAGGCACTGCCGCACTGCCAACAATGGCGGCCCCAGGCCTCCCCTTCGGGGCAAGGCCGAAATGGCCATGCACCAGGAGCACAGCCCTTCCTCCTGCCAGCCGCCGATTCATCAGCACACGCCACTTCCGTTTTTCCCATCAGAGCCATCCCAGTGGGTGAAGCTGTATCTCACTGTGCTTTGATTTGACCTCCCTCATGGTTAATGCTCCTTGGAAGAAAGGATGGCAAGCCTTGGACCCTTGTACTTTGATCATGTTATCACGAGGGGCTACAGTCCCTGGAGAAGGATGTCATGCCCAGTAAAGTGGAGGCTCAGCACAAAAGAGGGAGCCCCTCAACGAGACGGAGCGACACAGTGGCTGCAACGATGGGCTCAAGCACAGTGACTGTGGATGGTGCAGGAGCGGGTGGGGTTTCATTCTGCACGTAGGATCCCTATGAGTAGAAACCAACGTGGCGGCACCTAACGACATCAGCAACAGTGAACGACGCTGAGCATCGATTGGTCCAAGTGCCTGTCCATTTCCATACTTCCTTTGGAGAAACACCCAAGTCCTTCACCCACTTTCTAACTGGATTGACTTTCTGCTGTTCAGTTGGAGCTCCTTATACATTCATGACATTCGTTCCTTAACAAATATGTGAATACAAATAATTTCTCCCATTTTACAGGCTTCTTACTCTCTTGGTAACGTCCTAGGAAACACAAAAGCCTTTCGTTCCCATCGTGTCTACCTTACTTGGTTCATCTCTACTGCTTGTGCTTTTGGTATCTTATCTAAGAAATTACTGCCTAATCCAAAGTCACCAAGATCTACCTCTTACACTTAGGGCTCCGATCCATCCCGCCCGCTTCAGTGTATGGACTGGGATGAGGTAGGGATCTGGCTGCACCACTTGTTGAAGAGACTGTGCTTTCCCACAGTTCCTTGGCACCCGTCAAACTCAATAAACCCTGACTGCAGGGCTTACTTCTGTACTCTCCATTCCCTTTCCATTGGTCTGCCTGTTCTTGTTTACACATAAACCACACTGTTTTGATTCCTGCAGCTTTGTAGTATGTTCTGAAGGCAGGAAGTGTGACTGAACAACTCTGTCATCCTTTTTAAAGATTGGGCTATTCTGAGGCCCTTACACTTCCACGCAAATATATGGACGAGCCTGTCAGTTTCTGCAAAGCAGCCATCTGGGATCTTGTTAGGGATTGCTCTGAATCTATACATCACTTTGGGGTTTCCTGCTATCTTAACAATGGTTAGGTCTTCTCATCCATGAACATGGGTGCATTTCCTTCTTTTTAGGTCTATAACTTCTTTCACCAGTGTTTCCTATTTCCGTGTTCAGTGTACGATCTTCCATATCTCTTGGCAGCAAGTTCCTATATCTCATCCGTTCACTTCCTTAGCGCTGCCTCCTGACCTTGAAGGACCAAGAGCAACACGAGGAACCTCCTCTTCTCAGGCTGCTGATGTTGCTGTGCCCTCGAGCCCAGCCCCTGGTCCCCGTCTCTGCTCTGCTGACTTGCCACTCCTGGGCGGCACCGCCTCATCACCTTGCTTCTAACGCCCACGGACAAGCACCCAGGCCGGCCTCCTGCACCCCAGGCCCTGCAGCCACGCTACACAGCACCATCAACTAGGCATTCAATGGACACCTCAGTAACTCTGTCTGAAACTGAACAGATCTGCTCCCCAAAACCACTGTCATGAAGTGAATTGTGCTCCCGCACGATGTCTGTTGTAAATGCTAAGTCTTACACTTGTGGATGTGATTCCATTTGGGCAGGGGATTTTGTTATGTTAAAGAGACCCATCAGCCAAGGAGGTCTAAGCTAATCACCTCTGAGAGCTACAAGAGCTGGTGAGGCAGGAGCAGGAAGCACTGGCCAAGGGAAAGGAAGGTGGCTCATGCGACTGAAGAGCAGGAGCTGGTTATACCCCAAGGACTTTCCCAAGAGCTGAGAGAGAGCCTGCCCCATAGCCAGCGCCCTGAACTCAGATTTCTAACCTCCTACCTACACTGTGAAAAAGAAGACGTGCTTGCTAAAGCTACCCACCTGGGTTCCATCCAAGCAGCAGGAGACAACCGAGACATGCTCCACTGGCAGTGGTGGCTGCATCCTTCCCACTGTCCAGGCCCCAGCCTTCCTGGTCCTCGACATACCCTTGTCAGCACCCATGCCACCCAGCTTGGTTCCCAGCCCCACCTCCACCTGCACCCCACCTGCCCTGACACCTCCACGTCTTGCCTGGACAGAGAAATTCGGTGCACATCACCAAATGTGGTTGGCCCTAGCAGGGGGAGGGGGATGCCCAATGCTGACTAACAAGCCTGTGTGTGTGAGCGGGAGGGCACAGCCTCTGAGAGCTGGTTTATGACACTCAGAGGAAGGATGAAGGGGTCCCACGAGCAGCCCAGTGTAACCTGGTTGGGCCTCTGACACAAACACAGTAAACTTTCATACTGCCAAGGCCCAGGGACACAGACAGCTGGGCTGCCCCAGAGATCCCCAGGAAGCCCAGCTGCGAGGGTTCAGGGATCCATTGCCCCCAGCCCTCATCCTCCCCTCCGAGTGCTCCCCTGCCTTGGCTCAGTTCTCACCTGCAATCACTGTGTTCACACACTCGTAGAGGAGGGACATGGCAGACGTGCTAGAGGAGGGCAGACAAACACCATGAGGAGCAAGGCCTCCACTGGGTCTCCACGCCTCCGAGCCACACGAGGCCTCATGGGAAGTCACTGCTCCCCTGGCAGTATGGACCATGTCACTGAGCTGACACAGCCGGGAGGGCCAGGGACTCCCTACCACTCAGGGAGTCACTGGGAGCTGCTGTTGTGGTCCCACCTCCCAACGGACAGAATGCTTAAAACCCTAACACACAAGGTCAGTATCAGGGCCCTGGGGGGCTCCACGAGGAAGAGGACGGAGACACCACCCCGTGGCTCACCACCCCCCACCCCTCAGATGCTCTCAGATTCATCAGGAATGGCCCTGAGGCAGCTGTGTGAGCCTCTTGGGAGCACAAGCCGCCACGTGACTCTTAAGGCCGGCCTACACCTGCTCTCCGGTTCTCGCCACTACTGCTTTAAAAACGGAATTTAAAAAAAACAGTACCCTATACCCTGGCTTCCAGGGAGGGTTACCTGACACCACAGGGGTCAGGTGCCTACTTTGAAACACATAGCCTGATGAAAAAAAACCCAGTAAGATGCTGCATCCTTTGTAAACTATCTGTCAGGTGACTCTAGGGGCCTCCATAGCTCAGGCCCTCCCCTGTCGCCAACCACGCCCAGGTAACCACGCCCTGGCCAGTGGTGCTGCGGGTGGACATCAGTGGCCGTGTGCTCACCTGTGGATCAAGTTGGTGAGGGGCTCAATCAGCTTCTTGCCCAGTCTTGGTTCTAACGGAGTCAGAGCACCAAACTGCGGGTTGGGAGAGCAGCAGGTCACGTGCCTCCCAAAACAAGGTCCCAGGATGCTTCTCAGAGTCAGGAAACCAACGCCCTGGCCAATCCGTCATCACCCACATTCCCCACAGCACAATCACCACAGCCCAAGGGTGGGGCCACCTGAGTGCCCATCAGCGGGATGGACCACACAGCAGCCTAGCCACACACAGAATGTTACTTAGTCATTAAGAGGAATGAAGCTGCCACACGCTACCACACAGATAAACCCCAAAAACACTGTGCCCAGCAAAGAAGTCAGAGACCAAAGATCAGGTACCATACGATTCCATTTGTGTGAGATCTCAGAATAACCAAATCCAGATAGACACGCTCACTGACGTGCTCCAGGAGGAACGGGAGAGGCTGCTGATGGGGAAGGGCTTCCCACTGGGTGGTAAGAACGTTCTGGACGGTAGTGGTGCTTGTACAAGGTCAGAAACATCATTCACGTCTCTGAGTCATGCACTTAAATACAGCAAACTCCACATGACACATAATCACACAATACCACCAGAAGGGGTGGGCACTCTGGACCATGCCAGCGCACCCAGGGCTTCAGCACACTGTGGCAGCGGGGATGGGACCTGCAGTCAGGTTCCAAACGACGACAGAAAGGACATGACACGGGAGGGTGCTACTTGCCAATTTGATGATTTTGATGAGGACCCAGTTGTTGGTTGATGAAGTCATGAGCTTGAAGAACAGCGGGGCAAGGGATAGGTAGTTTTTGGGGTTGCGCCTGGCCAACTCACAGATGACGTTGACAGCTGCCGACTGGACACCTGTGGGCAAGAGGAGACGCACCCTCATCAGCAGGGCCTGCACTGCACCTGTCCTGTGTGCACGTCCCTCCAGCCAGCACCTCCTAGAGGCCCGGGGGACCTCCCTATCACATCTTAGAGGCCTGGGGGTCCTCCGCTAGTATGTCCTAGAGGCTCAGGGAAGCCCCATCAACATCCTAGAGGCCCGGGAATCTCCCCGCCAACATGTCCCAGAGGCCCAGGTAGGCCCTGCCATCACATCCCAGAGGCGCAGAGACCCCCTGCCATCACGTCCCGGAGGCCTGAGGGTGTACTGACATCATATTCCAGACACCTGGGGATCCCCCGACCAACACATCCGAGGCCTGGGGATGCTCCTGCCAACATGTCCTATAGAAGAGGAGTTGGGGCCCAGGGACAGGCCAGTAGGAAGGGGAGCACTCGGACGATGACAGGCCCATAGATGGGCTGGAGCCCATGAGGATGTCCATAGGACACCGGGCACACGCAGCTGAGGCCGGCAGGGCTCCTTGTCTGGGAGACTGTACCATACTATACGTGACTGACACCACACCATTCACAGGGGGCCACGCCACACCAAAGGGAAAGCTGCATCAAGGGTACCTGGGAACCTTCACACTATTTTTTTCAAATTTTTCTTAAATTCTGAAGTTATTTCAAAAGGAAAATTCGAAACATTCTTAAAATTGTAATTATCAAGAGGAGAAGAGAAACACTCCAAAGCAGCACACCTTTCAGGTAGGCCAGAGGGAAAGCAGAAGCAGGGGGCTCAGCCCAGGGAGGAAGGGACCCCGGCGCCAAGGAAGAACAAGGCCCTGCACCCTCAGAACAGCCCCTGGTCTCTGGCCCATTTCAGAACCATTCTGCTCTAAAGACCACTCGCACCTGCCAGCCCCGGGGAGTTGGGGGTGGGGGGGGCAGTCTGCGGACACCTGCACAACACGTGCTACGCAGGGAAGCCGGGAGCACAGCCCCACTCTGCCACCTCCTGCCAGTGATGGGGACATGGTCCCCAGGCCCAACTCTCCCCTGCAAAAGGGCACGCAGTGGCCCTAAGGAAGCAGGACCCACACACCCCACAGTCCTGAGCGTGGCCTTCAGGAGAAAGTAAGCAGGATGGTGCTCACACTCGGAGCGTTTCAAAACCTGCCTAGTTGGGAGAACAGGGCTGAGGGGTCAGCTTGGGGCAATGCCACCAGCAGGGAGCCCCTGGGCAGGGGCGGTTCCCGGCAGGTGGATGGGGTTTGGGAAACCTCCTGGAGCCAGTCTGGGACTCCCAGCTGTACCCAACTCCGGGACCCAGGAAAAGGCACATCCTACGCCTTGAATCACGCCCAGGGCTGAATCTCACGGACTCACATCTGCGCCTCTGCAGACTGCCCGCTGTACCAGGGCTGTCATGCGAGGCCCAGGGCAGTACTGGCAAAGCAGGAGCAACAGTCCCTGGAGGCTGCTTAAGTGCACATGGATTGAAGTGAAACAGAAACTGAAAATCTGGTTGCCCAGCTGCACAGGCCACGTTTAAGTGCTCAACAGGTACATGCAGGTGGTGGCAGCTACTATACTGGGCGGTCCAAGTCTAGAAAGCTCTGCAGGCCGGAGCTGGAGCGGAGGAGGCACCATCTGCTGTGTTGCACCCGACTGTCCCCTTTGGTATACGAGGAACCCGCTGCTCAGACAGGCCAAGGGCGCCCCACAGGGGTTACTGACCCTCGCTCCTGACGCTGCTATCATTTCTACAACAAGGGATGGCAATGTGAAGATGCTCAGAGGGCTCTGGGAACCCCTCCTGCCAGGGACCCCACAGCTCCTGCCAGGCCCACCCAACAGCCCATCTACTGCAGGGCCCTCTGAGCCTGCAACCTGGCAGCTCACAGTTCCCCACTTGCTGTGCCCCCACACTTCCTCAGTTCCTTCCTTAAAAGCCTCACCCCAACTACCTCTTCACGGGAAGCCAGCAACTCCAGTGAGGTTGAGCCCTGCACTGCTACCATACCAGCTCAGAGAGGCCCCATCATACCCCACATCCCCTCTAGTGTACACACCAGGGTCAGGGTCCTCCAGCTCACCATCCCAGCTCAGAGAGGCCCCGTCATACCCTGCGTCCCCTCTAGTGTACGCACCAGGGTCAGGGTCCTCTAGCTTCTCCTTCAAACGTGGGAAGGCGGGGCGCAGCGACTCAGGGTACTTGAGGAACACCTTATACATGATCAGCACGGCCTTCTTCCGGATGTAAGGCTTTGTGTGTGACATCTGCAGGGTAATGGGGGCTCAGTCTCCATGAACTCCACCACGTCCCAGTACTGCCCCTGCCCCAATCCCACCCCTGCCACCCACGGGAGGCCTTTCTCCAGCTCACTCAACACAGGCCTCCCAGGCTGCCTACCAGTCCCAGTGACCACACACAGGATCTGAGGTGGAATCAACTCTGCCTGTGCCATGACCAGAGCTCCCCCTCACCCCCGTCTGTCTGCTCCCAGATCCCCAACGCAGCAGCATCCACGCAGGGAGGGAGGAATGGAGGGCTGGGTGGAAGATGGTGCTGCAAACGAGGTCTCCTAGTCTCTGGCCCCATCAACAGAGCCCCTGGGCATCTAGGCCACCAAGGCCGACTCAGAGCACGGCTCCCAGGCTCTGGCCCCACCCCCTCTGGGTACCCTCATCCCTCATCCCTCATCCTGTGTGTTGACACTGCAGCTACCCACCCACCTCAGGACTGGGCTCCAGCCAGGAAGGCCCTCACCTCCAAGTGGCTCCAGAGCTGAGAGCCCTCCACCTGCCCCTCATGTTCCCTACAGACATGCAAACTCTCCCCAGGCCTCTCAGCTCTTCAACTGAGGACAGCTTCAACCAGGGACACACGTTCCACAAGGGGTCATGAAGATGGCACTTAGCCACCAGAGCAAGAAGCCCCCACGGACCAGTTGTAAATGAGCGCCCGTGACCAGTTGCCAATGAAATTGTATTTACAAGAGCAGGTGGCATGCTGGTTTTGATTTGGCCTGTAGGCTGAAGTTTGCTGACCCCAATCTAGAACCCATTAGGTGAGGTCTACCAGCCCCTGACCCAGGACCTGAGGCTTCCCAGCTGTCCTGGGCGACCCCAGTGAGCAGGCTGTAGGCTGTGGCAGACATTGAGCATAAAGCTGGGCCCTCAGTCATGCTTTGCTGGAAGCAGCCCTGGGTGGCTGGGGTCGGGCCTGAGGGCCAGGATCTCCGAAAGCATCCCAGAACCCAAACATTCTGGGCCCCAGTGAGAGCAAGCTGAGTCTGGGCTTCTGGCCATCGAGACCAACTTCACCAGGGAAGTGCAGCTGTGGTCAAGGACGGAGAATCAACACCACACACCCACCCACTGGCCACTGGCCAGGCCAGCTTCCATCACGTCACCTCCTTAGGGCAGGAAGTCGTAAGTACACCGAGCCCATCAACTCAGCAGAGACTTGCTCTTCCCCCAAGGAAGGAGCACTTCAAAGAAGCCAAACTGAAAACCTGAGAGCGGTGTGCTCTGAGTGAGACCCAGCACGACAGACGGTGGGCCGGGACTTGGTCTGGCGCCCACCCCAGCTGCTGGCTGCAGGGCCCCGCTTTCTCACCACACCCCCCGACCTGGCCCCGACATGCTGACTCACCAGCGTCATGATGTCACTTGCCAAGTCTCTGGCAAGGTCCGGGGTGACGAAACAGGACAGGCCCGTCAGCGCAGCCCCAGTGTCGTACTGGCTGGGACTGCTCAGGTCCTGCAATGAGTAGGACAAAGGGTCTGCCGGACCTCTCCCTACCAGGTTGTGCACACATCTACGAGAATGCAGCTACCTCCCCACCCCCTACCCCACCTCAGAGGGCTCTGGGGTGGCAGGAGGAAGAGGAGCAGTCCCATCTGCCCACGGGGCATCTATGGGACACCAACGATTCACAACCAGCTCTGTATACCATCCCTGAGAGCCAGGAGGATGTGTTGGGGCCTGGCGACCAAGACTGGACCCCATTTTCGCCATAAAATTCCATGGCTGAGAATGGACTGACTCTCCTGGAGGCTCCTGGGTCACAGAGGGGGCTGTGCTTCATGCAAGCACAGCCCGGAGGCAGGGACACCTGAGCCCAGGGACAGTCAGGCTGCAGCAGGCCCAGTGACCCTGCTCATGACTGTGGTGACCCCAGGAGCATGGAAAGCACAACTTGGACAGCCCCCAGGATCTCACCCCAGGGAACCTGCCATTAGGTCAGGCTCTCTTTCCCCCTACAGCAAGGAATCCTGGGGGCACAGTGGTCAAGTGCTCAGCTGCTAACGGAAAGGTGGGCAGGTGGAGCCCACCAGCAGATCTGAGAAGGAAACAGAGATGACAGCCTAGGAAATGCTGTGGGGCAGCTCTACTCTGTCACACAGGGTTGCCATGAGTCAGAACTGACTCAACGGTACGTGACAACCACCACCTCCCCCTATGACAACGAGGACAAGCCCCCAGACCTGTCCCAGGGGCTCAGACACATCAGCCTAAGGACGCAGTCACCACCCCAACCAGGAAGGACAAGAAGAGGTTCTGACAGCTGCCCTAATGCTCCCCAGGGTTACTCACCCCTCAGTCCTGATCCTACGGTTCTAACAGAAAGCCCAGACTCAGAACCACCTGGTCTCTGCACTCAGCAACATGCTGCTGTGTTACCACTGACTTGGGGAGGTTTTTCCCAGGACTCACGACAACCTTCCACATGTCTAAGGAGGAACACACAGGGGAGCCCGTCCCGAGCCCTCCTCTTGGGCTGTGGGGATCAACTGGTTTTAAAGGCCCCCAACTCCAGGCCAAACACAGAAAATATGATCAGGACCCCCAGAACAGAATGCAGTCCCCTGATGGCCAGATGTCTAGTTCCACGTCCCTGGCCTAGGGGTTGAGGGCACAGCAGAAACCCACAGAGGTCCAGGGACTTTTGGGAAGTGATGGTCTACAGTGAGAACATGTGGGTAACCGCTGAGCAGAGGAAGAACCAGCAGGTGCCCAGTAGGTCAGGGACGGCCCAGCGCCCACAGGCCACACACTGGGGGATTCCTAAGTTTCAGCTCATTTGAGATGCCAGGACAGAAAGTGGACAGCAGGGGGTGCCCATGTCTCTCCTGAGAAGAACACTGCCTGGAGGGAGACACACCTACTTCCTGGCAGGAGAGACACCTGCTTCCTGGCAGGAGACACACCTACTTCCTGATGGGCCACAGGTGCCTGTGAGCTTGCTGGCCTTTGGGGCCAAGGGCCTACCACGTCACTGGGCACTGCCTGGGCCGAGTCAGGCTCACCTTGCGGATCTGGTTGGTGGTCAGCATGATGACGTCTGTGCCCTCGTGGAAACACTGCGAGGCAGCTAGGTAGCCGATCCGCTGAGAGAAGGGGAGGCCAGAGGTGTGAGAAGTGGCCAGGGCTGCACTCAGCCCTCCTCCCGAGGGACGCTCAGCCCCTGCCCTGGAAGGTTCTGCTGCTCCAAGCAGCCACCATCCCTGGGCCTCGCAGCAACCCCTGCACTGGGGGCCAGGAGGGGGTGGGCAGCAGGAGTCGTTCAGGAGTGCAGCCAGCGTCCTTAAACTACAGGGGGCATGCCCCAAGCACGGGGTCTAGGTGTTGTTTCCCTGGCACTTCACCTAGAGCTGTTCAGCTGCAAGTCTGTTGCTGGCATTCGGCCTCCTTACTCACTCGGTGGCACTTAATGACCTGATGAGGGATTTCCTCCCCCACTACCACCACTGCCTCCCTGTCCCCGCTTGACACCCCCCCACCCCGGAAGCCCACAACTGCACAGCTCAGGGCTCAAAGGCCTCATCATACACCTAGGCTATAAGCTCACCTTGAATGTGAACTTGGAGGCACTCATCACTTCAATAATGTTGAAGGCAGCCCAGCTGATATCATATCCCAGCATCTGTAACTGGAGAGGGAGACGCCCAGTGCTGTCAACTCACAGCCCAAAGCAGAGACAGAGCAGAGTCCTTCCCTCCAGCACACGAGAGCAGAGGCTCGGTCCCAGCCGCCCGCAGTCAGCACGCACCACAGGGTGATCGAGCGCCCCAGGGTGAAAGCTGGAGGGGTGGGTGACTAACCAGCATTACAGGCAGGTGAGGTGCTACCGCTGCGCCATCATTCATGGCACCGGCCAGCCACAGGGGAACCAGCTCCTACGGGTCTCCCTCACTGAGGAGTGCGAGGGATCAAAAGGGCCAGTGGCCGGCCATGCTCACCACCCACCCAGGACAGGAGAGCTCCAATCTCATGCTTGGCCACCAGACATAGGGGAGCTACAAGGCTCCTCCTGCCGCCCCACAATAGCTAGAACCCTGCTGGCCCACGACTCTAAGGTCCCACCCACCCTCCCCAAGGCCAGGCCTGCACCGTGACATAAGCAGTAAAGTGGAACATGGCCTGGCAGGCACCACAGTGCTTACATAGGTCAGCTTGCACACGGCGTTAGCTTTGACCGCGATGTTGTCCTGCTTCAGCTCCTGCTTGATTTCATCAATGCACTGCGAGATGTATTTTGCCTGAAAGAGACAATGAAACTCAGGAATGACACGTCTTCCTGAAGCAGTTCAGAATGACCACTCTGAAAGCAGCCAGTGAGTCACATATACCACAAGAAACCCAAGGACTCAGAAGGCAGACAGCGGCTGCCTGGGGCGGGGGGAGGAGATTGGGGAGTGACTGGTAACAGGTGTAGGTTTCCTTTCAGAGTGACAGGATGCTCTGGAACTAGACAGCAGTGGTAACAGCACAACTCCACTCTTGGCAGTAAGGCCAGGAGTCCCCATGGGGCCTAAGTCTGCCCCCAGCATTCCTTGGATCCCTGGATCAGGACACATGGGCTCCCACTACTGTAGGGGAGCCCCCTGAGCCCCCTGGCTCCTAGCAGCTGCCCCTCCTTCTAACAGCAGCCATGCGTTGCGTCTGGAATTCTCACAAGAGCCACCCTCCCTCCAGGGCACCACCCAGGTCACCACAAGGCAGCAGTCTCCCGCAGCAGTAGCAGCACCAGCCTAATGGGCACCCTGGCATCCCAGCTCCCTCCTGGCATGTTGTGAGCCCCGTTTCTCTGGATGGCCGAGTAACACTGTGCAGTGGGGACAGACCCACATGTCCATCCATCACCTGTTCCTGGACCCCGGGGCTGGATCCTCCCCCTGGCTGCTGGGAACAGTGCCACTCCTCCAGGTGTGCACGGGTTTGGGCAGGGAGGGTATGTTTGCGTTTCTCCTGGGTCTACACTGAGGAGTGGAACTGCTAGGTCATCTGACGACTCCAGCTTAACTTTCTGAGGCACCTCTAGCCTGCCTTCCCCCGTGGCTGCACCATCCTCCCCACCAGCAACAGGTGATGGTCCAACTTCTCCACATCCTCATGAACACTCCACTGTCCACCTTTCTGTTCCTTCCTTCTGAATGAAGAAAAGCATGATCCCTGAGGTGCGGGGAAGGCCATGCATCCTGAGAGCAAGAGCTGAGGAGCCCTCGGGCAAGAGTCAGTGACTTGAAGCATGTGGGAGCGTACAGCGAGGCGGGTCCACCGTGCCCACTCCCAGTCATAAACATTCAGCAGAATCGTCTGTGGCCAGGGAACTGTGGCAGCAGCAGAGGTCCCAGGCCAGCCCAGGGTGAGCCCCACGAGCAGGTCACAGGCATGGGGGGACGGAGCCACGCTGAGCCCCGGAAGGGAACTGCTCTCCTGCAGCAGGTGTGGCTCACTCTTGGGATGGCTACTGTGGTCTCTCGCATCCTGACACCCCCAGAGACATAGGCCAGTTGTTGGCCCTCGTGTATGTTTTGGATGGCATGCTAGTAGCCACACGAAATTAACCCAAGGAGGCCAAGAGATGAAAGCAGCCGCATACAGACCCCCGCACACCCGTGTTCCCAGCAGCGCCATCCAATGCAGTGATCACATGGAACATTCCCCAGAAACAGGATGAAGCTCTGACCCATGGGCAGGATGAAAACACACTGCATAGGAGCCGGCCATGCAGGCACGGAGCCGCTGTGATGTGACTCTACTGACGTGACACATCCAGGACAAACAAGCACACAGGGGCATAAAGGGCATGGGTGGTGGCCAGGGGCCGAGGGAGGCAAGGGTGGGAGTGGGCACAGGGTTTCTGTGGGGTATGGACTATTCCGGAACTAGACGGGTGATGACTACTCCGTGAACGTGAAGAAACAGGACTCATACACTTCAAAAGACTACACATCGCAGAATATGAAGCATCTCAGTCAGGCCTTTTAAGAAAATGTAAGTACATAGAATTTCACCACAAGCAGTGGCTCTGGCTCAGACCACAGGAGCCCGGACAGCTCAGGCAGAGCACACCTACCCTGCACCGCCTCCTGAAGAATTCAAGTCCCCACGAGCCCACCTGGGCCTGGCACCTCAGGGGAATTCACCGATGGAAACAAGCAGTGGGCAAAACAGAAGGTAAACCCTACACCAAATGTCACTGAGTGGAAAGGTCTGTTTCACGGCCACATAGAGCTGGGGAATGGCCACAAGCCAGGGACGTGCCAGAAACATGCAGGCAGCGGCGCCAGCAGCAGGCACAGAATCCCAGTGTCCATCTGCGAGGCCGGTGTCTCGTCAGAAAGGAGCACTGGCATCCCTACGGCCGTGCAAGATGGACCAACGGGAAAGAGCAGCCCGCCATCCCTGTCCCCACAGGTAGGTGGGTCTCTCCTGTACATTGTTTTAGATCCCGCTCCGCTTGTCTCTAACACTGTAAGCCCAAGGTCCCTGCTCATGCCTCACTGTGGGTCCCCTGCAGCTGGCTGCTGCTCCCAGAAAGCTCGCTCTCAGTGGCTGGCTCCCCTCTTCGAGGTGTCAGCCTGCTCAAGTACCCTTGTTCAGGTACAGCAACCTCCAGGCTGGGCGTTCAGGGATCCAAATCGACACCTGGGGTGGACCCCTGGCTGCCCTCGGCGCCCCTTTCACAGGCTCTCTGGCTACTACATCAGCAGCAATGCAGAGTGCCTGGTGAACAGCTGCTTGGGGGGCCCGTGGCCTCCTTAAGCCCCCGCCCACAGCCCCCACCGAGCTCCTCTCCTGGGGCCTGGTCTCCACCCTCCACACGCGGCCTCCACACTCCTGCTTCTCTGTGGTTTCTCTTAGAGGCAGCCATAAGCTGAACAAGAGATCTTTTACGGGGCTCTCGGTGCACCGCTGAACTGGGCACAGGACACTTCAGACACACCTGACACCCAGCTGATGCCTCACTTTGACCCCCAGTGAAAGAGCAATAGGACTCACTACCAGGTACTTCAGGGAAACCCCAACTCAGCGTCTAAGATGCTGCTATTTCCAGCAGACGCACCCTCAGTTCTACCGTCACCCCGGAGCCCTGGTAGCTCAGTAGTAAAAGAATTCAGCTGCAGTTCAGACCCACCAATTTACTCCAGGGGAGAAAGATGAGGCAGTCTGCTTCCATAAAGACTGACAGCGTCGGAATCCCCTGAGACAGTTCTCTGTCTTTCAGGATTGCTCTGAGTTGGAACTGACTCAGTGGCAGTGGATTTGCTGTTGGTACTGTCATATTGCTTGCTGAAAGTGAGGATGACTTAAGGCACCTACTGATGAAGGTTGAAAAATACAGTCTGCAGTATGGATTACGTCTCAATATAAAGAAAACAAAAATCCTCACAACTGGACCAATGAGCAGCATCACAATAAATGGAGAGAAGATTGAGGTTGTCAAAGAATTCACATTGCTTGGTTCTACAATCGATGCCAACGGAAGAAGCAGTCAGGACATTAGACGACGTGTAGCATTGGGAAGGTCAACTGCGAAGGAACTGTTTCAAGTGCTGAGGAGCAAGGATATCTCCTTGAGAACTAAGGTGCGCCTGACACAAGCCATGATATTTCCAATCGCCTGGTATGCATGTGAGAGCTGGACAATGAATAGGGAAAACCGAAGAAGAGTTGATGCTTTTGAGTCGTGGTGCTGGCGGAGAATGCTGAAAGTACCATGGACTGCTAAAAGAACTAACAGATCTGTCCTGGAGGAAGTGCAGCCAGAATGCTCCTTGGAAGCAAGAATGGCCAGACTTCATCTCACCTATTTTGGTCATGTTGTAAGAAGGGACCATTCCCTGGAGAAGGATGTCATGCTTGGTAGGATGGAGGGTCGACGAAAGAGGGAGAGGCCTTCAGGGAGATGGATTGACACGGTGGCTGCGATGATGGGCTCAAGTGTAGCAGGGATTGTGGGGCTGGCGCAGGATCGGGCAGTGTTTCGTTCTGCTGTGCATGGGGTCGCTATGAGTCGGAAACGACTCGACAGCACTTAACAACAAATAACAACAACTGTCATATTGCTGACTTGGTCCCCCACACCCTGGCCTGGCCACAAAGCCAGGGCAAGTGCAAAGTGAAGCTCTCTCAACCCATGACAAAAGTTTTCCAGAGAGAAAGCAAACTAAACTGTCCCACAGCTGCTGTGGCATGATGGTTAACTGCTTTGCGACACGGTTGGGTCAGGTGCTAGTCTGAGGCTGTCATGAAGGTGCTAGGTGTGATCAGGTTGCTTGGCCTCGGTAAGCATGGTGGCCCCGTGTGGGTGGCCTCATGCAACCAACTGAAGGCCCAAAAAGCAAGACAGGTGTACTGTGCTTCCAGACAACAAATGCACATTTTGCCAGAACTCTTTTCTCTCCCCATCGTCCGACCTTCAGATTTGGGGGTGAAAGCCTGGAGGAGTCCCTGTGCCTGACCCACAGATCTGGCCTAGCCAGTCCCCAACGATCATGAGAGCCAAGTCCTTAAAATAAATCTCTCTCTCACACACACATACAGACACATACAGAGACACACACACTCACGTATCTGTCTTACTGGTGCTGTCTGTCTAGAGAATCCTGAGACACTGGGTAGGTGACCCTGTCCCTGTGGTGGCTTACAGAGGGCAAGGACTGGAACACTTAGGAATGAATGTTCTGTAAGCCAGTCCTGCTGTCCTGAAAGCTCTACACTGTGGGGGCTTGGGACTTCCACCCCCCATCCTCATCCACAGCAGCCCGTTGAGTCTGCAATGTGAGCATACACTTCATTATAAAATAATGAAAAAACCAAAACTCAACCCACTGCCATCAAGTCAATTACGATACATAGTGACCCCTATTGGGTTTCCAAGGCTGTAAATCTTTACAAAAGGAGACTGCCCCATATTTCTTCTACGGAGTAGGGGATGGGTTCGAATCACTGACCTTTTGGTTACCAGCCAAATAAATGCCTTAACCACTGCACAACCAGAGTTCCTAAGACAATGAAAAGGACGGGAAAAATAAATACATGTTTTTCTAATTCCACGCTCACCTGAAGCACAGAAATGGTTCTCTCAAACAGAGTCACAGGAAGTACAAATATGGGGCGTGGGAAGAAGTGGGCACGTTCATCTTTTATTTTCACAAAGCACTGCTGTCAAAACAGTGGAACATTTCCCTTCTTACAAAAAGGAAAAACAAATTAACGGGTCAAAGAATTCAGATGTGATCTCAATCCAGGG